ATCATGCTAAGTGAAGAAAGCCAATCCCACAAGACCAAAGGCCAAATGTTCTCTCTGATAAGTGGATGCTGATCCATAATGGGGAGGGGGGAATTAGGGAACTGTGATTAGGCAAAGCAGAGGGTGGGAAGGGGAAGGGGCATGGGGGCAGGAAAGATGGTGGAATGAGATAGACATCATTACCCTAGGCACATGTCTGACTGCACATATGGTGTGACTCTATCTTGAGTACAACCAGAGAAATGAAAAATTGTGTTCGTTTTATTTGTATACGATGAATCAAAATGCACTTGTTGTCATGTATAACTAATTAGAACAAATTTTTAAAAGGAAAAAGAATCAGTTGGCTGAAAGTAAAAAGAAAAAAAACTGTGCGGCAGAGTCATATTTGGAAAAGCATATATTTTACTCATAATTGACTAGCTCAGGGTTCTGTCAGCTCCTTTCTGGACCAATGGAGTCTTGAAGGTGATCTATCTAACCCTTTCCTTTTTCTCCATATTCCTCCTGCTTTCTCCCTGTTATTCATATAGTTCATTTTGTTTAAATGCATGTTACTTTGAATTTCCTCCAAAAAAATAATGCTTCTTCATTCTGTTCCATAAGTCAAATTAATCACCACAAATAGGCTGCTACCTGAAAACTGGATGCATAATCAGCATAATACTGGGCAATAATGGTGCTGAATTTTGCCTCTCCAGATTTTTGCCCTTTTCTCTCTATACTTCTGTTATCTGAACTTCTATCTTTCATAGTCTAGTTTAGAGAGTAACCCAACTGGTCAGAGATAATGTCTGTACATACTAGGAATGAACTTCACACGCAATTCATCTGTGTACATGAGTAAAATTCTCCTTTAGGGGACTTTGTGCTTTAAGTTCTTTAATGTAGTAAGATTCCACTCCATCTACTGTGCAACAACACTGGAAAGAAAGGAATGACATTTCTCAGCAGAAACTTCACACAGGGATCGTGCAACAATGATACAGAATCTTCCATTCCTCAGTGAACGTTAATGGAGTACCCATTATGTGCCAAATTCTAGCCAAGAATACACATACATTTTTAACTCCTTAAGTTCCTAGTTTCCCAGGAAAACAGCAAAAGGAAAATATTTATAGATGCTTCAACTTCCCAGAAGGTGACTAAGTCATATATTATAGTGCAACAGGGGAATTAAAATTTAGCAAGTCCTCAATCAAACAAAAGCCTTGCCTCCCACTGATTCTGATCTACAAACCAGGAATTAAGCCTGAACTGGCTACCTGATTGTCTCCTGGGGGGCTTGCTCTTCTGTCTCTACTTCCTAACTTTTCTCTTTCCCTGGAAAGTCGCTCATCCCCAGTTCCCCACTTCCTCCTACACATTCCCAGGTCTACTCCACTGGTCAAAAGCAGAGACGTTCTGCAAGACCCACAGCTCCTTTCCTCAGAACCCTCAGTATTTTGTGTCTGCACAACCACATGGACCATAACTTCCCTACTAAAACACAAAAGCCTAGAATAAACAATCTCCCTTACATTCCTGTGTATACCTCACAATGCAAATTGTAACATTTAATACCTTTTGATTTAGACCATGAATACATGAATTGACTAGTTGATTGATTAATTAATAAACTATTAAGAGATGGGGATGGCTTTTCTCAAGGTGTACTAAGCTCAGAAGCCCAAATGATTGACCTAAGCACTCACCCCTATGTTCCTTCCAGGTAATTCTCAGAGAGGCTAGAAGTCCGTGTTCAGCTATCTCTGAACCTGAACCTTTTGCATCATTTCTGGGAGCCAGTGTCAGCTGCAGGGAAGTGCTTGGGTCCTAGAGTCATACAGACAAGGACTTCCCAAAAGCTGAAGACATTCATCTCTGCTGTTGCTTTTTGGATAACCCAATTTAAGCTTTAAGTTTTCTGATCTGCAAAACGCAGCTGCCTCCTCTCTTTTCTTGTTCTACCTCGTTGGCTTATGAGAATTAGGTGTATGAGTGTGAAGCATGCCCTTTTCTCTCGATACTTCCCTTATCTGAACTTCTTCTTTCAGCAGTCTACTTATTAGTATATCTAGTAACACTCTCTGTGACATTTTATTTGCCAAGTATTTTTTAATAACAAAATATTCATAAAATAATGGTTTTTAACAGAAACCCACAGTTCATATGAAAACCAATCACTAACTATGAGTTTTTCTTTGGGTTTCATTCTGTCCTGGTAGGTCCCTGGTAGAGGATATGCAGGACTCTTGGTGT